GCCCCAGACCATCCCAGCTCCTTGGAGGAGCCTAATCTGAGCATTTCCCCAGGGAACACCTACAACGGCAACAACTTTATTTTCCAGTGTGCAAGATTACACAGAACTGTTTATGAAGCACGTGCTGCACTTGAAAGAGCTATCTTTTAGGAGAAAAATGAGTAAATATAACTATTGCCATAATCTCAGCATGTTCCTTAGGATGTTTTTGTAACGCCTTAAGATAACTCTGCTGAACAGCCCAATGCTGCTTTTCTTAGCAAAAAGCTGTCAAAATCCTACCTGAGCCTTCTGAACCTCCAGCCTGGGGTAGGGTACACAAACCAGGTTCTCCTGCCCAGGGAACCAGCAGACAGTTCCTAGTCGGAAGCTTTACAGAGCCAGCAGGTGGCAGCTCATCTTTGCCTATACTTTTTGTTGGGGTAAATTGTGTTTTCCAGGCAGTAAGGAATAACTATTCTGGGCTATTTTCCTACAAAAACAAGCCTGAGGCTTCATTCTGTTCAAGGAAACAATTCACTAAGTTTTATGCGCGGCAAACTGAGCTTCCCCAACTTCACATTTGTCCATACAGTGACCCAGGGAATGGAGGGGGACAGACAGCTCCTGCAGAGTAACTACATGGACCATGAAGATTCTTCCATGATTAAGAAAATCGGAAAACACCTGTATTTCCAGTTTCTGCCAGCTCCTCCTCTGTATTATAGGGCACCTGGAACCAGACAAAGCCTGCTTTGCTCTTTTATATGTCCTGTATACAACTACACAGAACTAGGACACAGCTATCTTGCAGGCAGGGTGCTCTGAGTGACGGCTAAGCTGCCAAGTCGGCATTGTCCCATAAAAACGTACTCCTGTGTGCCTGTCCTTGAAAAGCAGTCACCCACGCTGCAGGGCTGTATGGACGCACCCATCCAGCCCAGGCAATAGCAGAGGTGACAGAGCCAGGAGCCGCGAAGCGTGCATTCGGCAAGGTGCACAGGGCAGGGAAGCAGCAGCCTTTGCAGCGCGGAAGGCGGCATTTCAGCACAAACATCTCCG